GGGGGGGGGGGCAGTTAAGTAGGCTGCACAAGCACTGATAAACATATGGTCCATCACTAACAGCAAAACATGTCTATGATTACATGGTGAACTAATCCAAAGACATGAAAAAAAGAGCAGGTGGAGAGACTGGAAGATGTAAAAGTGCTGCATGAATAACTCGTGTTTTATTCAAACAGAGAAAAGCAAATTACTTTATAGGAAATTACTAAAATGCACCATCTGCAGTTTCAATCCCTGTAATCGTTGCGGTCTATACATAAAATGTTCAACTTTGCTGCAAGACGACAATATGACATTTCCAACAAAAAAATAGTCTATGAAGTCTGGACACTTAATGCTGCAGAAAACAGCTAAGAAAACTTTGCAGCTCCAAATGAAGCCTATCCCTACTGTTAATGAACACAATTTGCAAGTCTCCTCAGCCAGTCAACATATCAATACCTGTCAAGTTAGGAAAAACATTTCACAGGCTGGTAAACAAGTTTAATGGAAATGTCAGTCAACAGTACAATTTCAGACAATCGTTTCTAAATATAACCAGTTTTCCCAATACCAAGATCTTCCTAATTTTATTGTTTGTGGCAAAGCTGTCAATCTTGTCAACATTATACTTATAATGAGAACATTAGAAAATCGATTTCTGCATCTCTATCATAAGTAATAAGTAACTGACTAAACCTTCTCTGTACGAACCAAATCTTAACATTTACAGTTTTAAACAAACTTTTCTGTTTGCTTTAAGTTTTGTTTCAAGAAACATTCTCAGACTTTAAATCACAGACATGTTTAACATTCAACAAAGCCCTCAGGACTCACCTGGATCATTGTGAGAATGAGGGACCACAAATACTTGCAGAGGTTCATTATTCCACTCATCAGGTTCATAAGTGATGTCAAAGCCCTGTTTCCATACACCACCGTCAGGGTTATCAAACTTTAGAATGGAGTACACATCCAGCATCTAAAAAGAAAACAACTGCTTCATGAGAATAGCTCAAAAATAGGCACACAGTGACAAATACAACGTGGCTAAAATAAAACATACCAATTAACTACGGCTGGTGAAGTTAGTAACAATAATCATCTTAACTGCCAACAACATTGGTGAAAATTTTTAATCAGGTTTTAAATCAGGCCACAGCACAGAGTCAGCTCTTTTAGGAGTTTTTAATTACCTTCTTTTAATCGTTGATTCAGGAAGCTCTGCAGTTTTAGTGCTTTTAGACCTTTCTGCTGCCTTTGATATTGTAGACCACAACATCTCGTCACGTCTTCAGCAGGTGGTTGGTATGAAAGAGTTTTATCCTAGTTCAGATCCTACGTGAATCACAGGACTTTTTCCTGTTCATTTAGGTGAATGTTCATCTGTGGCTCTTCTAATTTGTGGGGTCCCTCAAGGGTCTATTTTAGGTCCACTGCTTTTTAATCTTTACTTGTTGCCTTTGGGGTCCATTTTTAGAAATTGTAGCATTCCTTTTCATTGCTTTACTGATGATATTCAGTTGTATCTGCCTACTAGGTTATACAGGGTCACTCCACTGGAACCACTCTTGAACTGTCTAAATAAAATTAAAGTCTGGGTGAAAGTAAATTTCCTAAATGTCAACATAAAATTGAAGTAATCGACTTCCATAAATGCAATGCCCTTGACACTCTTGGCCCAATGGCTTCATACACACGCTCCACTGTCAGGAATCTGGGTTTGTTTGTTTTCCCCAATAGTGCTTTTAAATTAGACAAACAGATAAGTGGAGTTGTGAAATGCAGTTTCTTCCAACTAAGACTCATTGCCAAGGTGAAGTCTTGTCTCCCTTTCAGAGACCTTGAAAAAGGTGATTCACGTTTACCTCTCATTTGGACCATTGTAATGCTTTGCATGTTGGTTTAGATTAAAAAAAAAGGTATTTATATTGCTTACAAAACATCCAGCATGCAGCAGCTCATCTTTTACCAGCAACTAGAAAACATGTCCACTTCCAAATAATTGATTTTAAGATTTTATTGCTTCTTTTTAAAAAGTTTCAAAAGGTCTGGCCCCATCATATTTATGTGATCTTCTTAACATCCACGTTCCAGTGAGAGAACTCTGGTCTACCAACCAGTTTCTCTTAGATGTCCAAACTGAAGCCCAGAAGTGATCAGGCTTTTGCAGCTGCTGCTCCAAAATAGTGGAATTGTTTATCTGATCATTTGAAGACTGTGGAGACTTTTAAATCTTTTCTCAAGACTTGTCTTTTTTCTCTGGCATTTGATCCAGACGGAGTTTGAGAACCAGTTGGAGCTGATTTTTCCTTGTTGTTGCGTGTTGTATTATATTGTTAACTTTGTGTTTCCTTAGCGGCACGAGATGTATTTTGTTCTTCTTACTTGTTTTCATTTTAATTTGACTAAATTGTAAAGCACTTTGGTCAACTTTTGTTGTTTTTATGTGCTATATAAAAAAATGGACACCGACATCTTGCTGCAACACTAAGCTCTGTTGGGAACATTTGCATTCTAGTTTTCACATTGATGTTACTTTGATACTTCCAACCAACAAACATTTTTGCATACCAGTCACATTCAACCATCTCCCATCCTCATTCTCAACCTGAATAAAAAAAAAAGAACATGATAAAGACTATGTTGGTTCCACAACCTCCAAACTACTCGAATAGCAAATTGATGGGATCTAATTGTGGATGTGGTGAAAAAGGTTCAATCAGGAGAACCCATCCCATTTTTACAGAACCAAAAAGTTCCATTGCTAAAATTTAGGCACCAGCGATCAGTTCTTCAGGATTATACATCTGTCCTAACTAGTCTGACTTTATGTGCTGGCATAAAAATAATCTATTCAGTATTATTTGGTTGGTCATAAAGCTTCACCTTTTCAGACTCGGCTTCTCATTTTGTAGAAGTATAACTTGTTTACCTGAACATCAGTTTGAACTCGGTTCCCCTCAGCAAATTGGCAATCCTGAGGTTTTACAGCAAGGAAAGTGGGTCGACCGTCGAAGGGTAGGACCCAGGAACCATTGGCACTTCTGAAAGGCAGGTGGCCACTGGGAGACACAGCTCCTGTGTCTGTGAGCTCCATTACAGAGTCCTTTATGTGGCTGATAATTTGATGGTTTTCCTCCAGAAGTTGCTCCAGCTGCTCTATCCGGTTCTGCAGGACTGAAATTTGGCTCTAAAAAGAATAAAAATAAATAAATGAATGACACCACCAACCAACCAAACCATGCAATGCTCTTCTTTCTAAGACTTGAAATTACAATGTTTACCAAAGGTATTTAATGCACAAGGATTGTGATGAGAAACAGAGAAGAATTTACAAGCCAGTGTAAATACATGTAGATAAAAAAATATATATATTCAGCTTTATATTACAAGATTAATTTAAAAAAGGACTACCATAATTAGACATAAGGCTTTAGTGGTGTAGAAATCTTTTCGCTCATGAGTTTAAGGCAGATCCAAATGTGTGATACAAGCAAAAAAAAAAGAGAAACAAAGCAGCTGTAAAAACAACTGCAGAGTGAGAGTTTTCAATCATATTCCCCAACAACTTCAACAATTATTCTTACCCTTGGAAAGTTCCCTCCATTCTGTCGCCTTGCAGGGTCATGTTGGACTCGATCCAACATCAGATAGAGTGAGAACACTGCTACACAGAATATGGCTCCTCCACACACTGTCACCTGTTTCCTTAGCTTCATCCTCCTGTGGAGCAGCCGTCCTCCCGGGATTTAAATTTTCTCAAAAATATGGCCTGAACTGCAAAGGGTTTATGTATTTAGTACAGTGAGGGGAAAAAAAAGTCCTGAAAAACTTAAACAAAATCCTTAACAGTGAAAAAATGAATGACAGAAACCAAACTATGCCAGCATGAAAGGTTTAGTCCCCCTCCTGCGATGCCTAAAGCCTCCACTAATCATACTGAAGACCACAATGATAGGAGCTACAGCAGAAGTAGCAGAGGAGAAGGGTACTAAAGCTGCAATAGCTGGCAATAAGTCTGACCGCTCAGGCCCAACCACAGCCACCGGTGGTCTCCTTCAAAGTAGCCCTTGTGCTCAACCATTCAGGAAAAGGGGGAAAAAAGCCCAAAACTGAAGATCAGACAGGGAAACTAGTGTCCCTGCAGCATGATTGTTGTTGCTGTTGTAGGTTCAGTCCCCACTTCCAGAGCAAAGTCTAATCCTCCAGTACAGACAGAGTTTGAGTGCTTTTTCCTCAAATGGCCTTGTGTGCCACAACAGTACGCCTGGCAGTTTGCACACTGAGCATGTGCAAAGGAAGAGGCAGAGGGGGAAAAAAAGACCAGCTTGGCTAAGAGCAGCAGCAGCGGCAGATTTTTTAATCAAGCCTTAGCTTTACCCCAGAGCAGCTTCAGGAATTAAAATGAGATGAATGCTATCCTTGTCTCAGCAACGTAATGACGACATATCTACCGTGGCAGCATGAGCAGCGCCTGTCCTTGATCACAAGTGCCAAGTCGACATCACATTAGGCAGTCCTCTTCAGCTGTTGGAAACAATTTAAAATAAATGTAGCATTCATAAACACATATTTTGGCCTATTTCAGAAAAACAATAAACAGCACAAGTGCACTAGCCCCTGTGGGAAAATGTGAGCTCATTTAGTTTTTTTTAAGTAAATCCAACACAAAAAGAGAAACCAAGCTAAAAGGATACAACTTTCCTCTTTGATAAATGTTCATATTTTCCTCTGGGTGTGAATCCAGTATTAGCTTCCATTAGGATCTACTTATTACCACAAACTTGGCACTCACATTGGTTAAGACTGGCTTGGAAAACAACCTTAAAATCAGCAGGAGAAAGATTTTTAAGACCATCTGGAACAGAAAAACGTTCAATACGAAATAGTTTTATGCTGATGTGCATGACCTAGAAACAAAAACACTACTTCCTACCATTTTGGTAAAATAATGTACAGCTGATTCTAATCTGCTCACTTGACTGCACAGCAGATTCACAAAAAACACGTCAATGTTATTACTAACAATGTATGAGCAAACTACTTTACACCGAATAGGTTTCTTCGGGTCGATAGGTGACATTTCTGTAAAAGTTTAACAGGAATCAATTTCAGTCAGTTATTACTAGGCTGCTTTAAACTTGAGCCCACTTACAGACTTGCATTTATTTATTCGGCCAACATCCCATCCAAGCTAAAATACACAAATTAAACAAATCTACCGGTAGTTATACATCTCATATTGTGACATTAACATCAACTCCTAAACTTCAAAACATCTGTCACTTCACTACTAAAACGGAAGTATGGTAACGTTTTTTTAGCTAAATAGGCTAATGCTAGCCCCTATGTTCTACAACTAATTTAGCTTTACGTTAGAGAGCTGTACAAGGTTAGTTTGAAATTGCATTTTATATTATTCTTCGTAGACCATTTCCTTCCTGCTCCGCCACAAACGGGCTGTTTGACATGAATAGACAATACGTGGCTGATATTCCCCTGGCGAACTATTCACTTTCTAACTAAACATCGACCAACATTTAAATTATATAAGAACTTGTTTCCTTATGAAGAAAACAGCGGGGGGAAGCAAGTTACCCATTAAAGGACGGATGATATTCCAGCCGGAAGACTGTGGAGCTCAGCAATGCTATTAGCTGAAGGCTGACAGATTACCGGAGTAGCATAGTGAGCTTAGCATTTAGCACCGTGTTTATATCTATGGTTTGGGGGGAGGAGCAAGATGGCGGGTTGAGTGGCAGTGTTTTTTTGGAG